CTTCTCATTCAATATTCATGCTTTTGACAGACCAAGGAGCAAATACAAGATCGGGGTGAAACTATATAGTCCGACAAATACCATTTTAAAGTCACGTGATACTGGTGGCAAAAAACGTATGTCCATTGATTATGTCGTTGATATCACCTACAAAAAGCTATTAGTGGTTAATTACTATTGAATTTTAATATATGTTCCCACTAGAATTTTACAAACGCGTTTCTGAAGTAGTATTGACCAATCAGAGGGCAATTTTAATACTTGCAATAGACCTATCTATTTTTACCTGGTATGCGCGCGCAACACGAGGCAATGTCTTTTTATTGGCTAGCTAATACAGGTGTGAGATGATCGTTTTGCACGCTGGGCATCTCTTTATTTGTTATCTTTGTTCATTGCACGTGGTCTGACAAAAATAAATCTAAAAGTGATATTCAACTTGACAAGTGTCATTCAAAGGTTGTTTGACATTTTCATTGACAAATACGTTGCACAACACGCGGTTTTTCTCCTTTCCTTTTTATCCTGTGCAAATAAGAAGGACGGATTGCTATACGTAAGTCTAACATAATTTGGTACGTTTTGCCTCGTCTTGCGCAATGAGCGTTCTGTGTCTTTTTTTATTTAATGAAGTTTTCGTATTATTACCTCTTTGTCTGGTAAAATAGATAGGTCTATTGTTGCGAGACTCACTTTTGTCGCATCTTCTGTCTGTTGTAATACATTCTGAACTTAAACTGGGTACCCGTTTTCTATTTGCTTCTTTTCGAGTTGGAAAAAGGTTAATATAGTCAAAATTATTAGCTGTTTTTGTTCGTTGTATTATTTTCGATTATTCCACTCATGTGTTAGAAATCCCATAAGACAAGTGACGATTTTCAGAATAACAGCGAGAATTTCATACATCTGTCAAAACTGGTATTCCAACAATAAATTGACATGTTTTGATTGTTGATTTAAACCAATCAGATTGTAATTACGCGATAATTTGCACTAGTGCAAATTATCAGATAATTGCATACTAACTGGTGCGAAAACTGGTGTTTTTAAATTTTTGATTTATGAAATTCTCTCATTAAATACAACTCGTGCAATGGAAATATATTTATAATTTTCGACAAATTTGCACTCATGCGTTTTGAACTGGAAAAGGCACTCGTGCACTACGTGCACTCGTGCTCTTTTTCAACTAAAAATGCATTCGAGCAAATTTCCCAAAAATTATCAATAATTTCCATTGCACTAGTTATATTACTATTGAAAATTATTTTTTCTATTAGTTTAACTAGAGAGAATTACAGCGAAAATTCTCCCATGTTATTGTATACATGGTTGTCATGCTAATTTTTGATACAAACATACGGTTCCTGATAGCAACCATTTATTTGTATTGATTGTTAAGATGTTCAAATCGTTCAATACATATTTATTTCCATATTTTTTGCATTCTCATACGTGAAATAATCCTCTAAATACCACTTGAGCTTTAAAATGAACCAGATAATTTTTCACTCATGCGTGTTTTCTCTGCAAATTTCACTCGTCCTACGGACTCGTGAAATTATAGAAAACACGCAGTCGTGAAAAATTATCGGTAATTTTGAAGCTCTCGTGGTATTATCCCCGAAAATAACTTTGACAAACTAATTGATGACAGTGACGGATTCTATTTCAGGTAAGAATATTATGAACAATAATTAGACAGCAATTTTTTTGTCAATTTTACTATCACCGCTGTTTGAGATGTATTCAACAAGGATAGAGAAAAATCACGTGACTTTAAAATGGTATTTGTTGGACATACCTATTAGCGCAATTACCGAAATAAGTTTTAAATTAATTACGTATTGTTTTTCAAGTAATAAGTCTGAAAATGTCACTAACTCAATTTATTACTAATAAATACATATAAGCACATTTTATTTATTTCATAGCCAGTATTGTGTTAAAGCAAATTTTAAATGCAGTAGGTAGTTGAAATGCAAACATTTGTTATGGAAATTAAAATTATGTGTCCTCTTGATCCTTTCAGATTGAAAATATTTATTTATTACTGTTTATACATAGAAATTAAATATTTACCAAATATGCATAAATTAAATAAACCCGAGGGCGACAGAATGACGTTTATAGGCATTTATTACAATATACTAAAGGTCAATGTTTGGAATAGGTACAGTCCGAGTTTTATAATCTGATACTCCAAAGAAATGTTAGTTGGTGGCTCCCTATGTTAGCACGCCAATGGTCACCTGACCTGGAGCCTTATTCTTGATCGTTCGCTTTTTTCAAGGTCACTCGCGTACGCGCATCAGCTCGAACGAAAACTGAAAATGGTATTCTTGACAATTCGTTTGACAAACGTATACTCGCATGAAACAGCGAGTGGGATTTAGCATTCGTTTTCGTCGTTTCGCTCGCATTGTCAGCTGTTTTATTATTTTGATTTTGTGACTTTGTGTTTGTCAAATTTTCCGGGTTTTGAGATCGTTTTTTCAGTTAATTTATTACTTGCTAAACTACGTTAGTTTGCAAATATCATTGCAATTATGGATGATTTGCAACTCATCGCTAATATTGAGGAACTTGAGAATGTGGAAAATGAGAGGATCCGCCATAACAGGCATCAAAATCTAGATCCTTTCGAAGTATTGAACGAACAACAGTTTGCTGGAATATTTCGACTATCAAAAAATCTTGCTAGTTTCTTAATTGAGACCTTAAGCCCCTATATGAGACCGCAAAGAAGAGCTACGGATTTAAGTATTTCCACGAGGGTAAGTAAAAATCTGTGGTTCTTATAAATACAAACTGAAATTAGTCTCTGTACCTACTAGAATAGGAAAAATCGTTTGAAGTGAAAACGATTTTCTATATCTATTATTATTATTATTATTATTATTATTATTATTATTATTATTATTATTATTATTCAACCCCAAAATTATCATAAGTACCTATTACCAATTACCAATTACATTATGGTAACTACCATTTTTTTTAAATCAAAAAGTATATGGATAATGGATGACATCACAATAAGGTATCAATATTTTTATTTTAAGGTCTTAGTTGCACTACGTTTTTTTGCTTCGGTGAGCTATCAAATGGATATTGGTAATAACTTATTCCTAGGAGTCTCCCAACCATCAGTAAGTAGATGCATCGAAGAAACCAGTATGGCATTGAATACACCGGAAATATTCAACCAATGGATCAGGTTTCCTGGAAATTTTAATGAATTAGACCAAGTTCGCCTCAAGTTAGTATTTTTTTAGTTTTAACATGTTGCTTCAGGTTAGATAAGAAGAAGTGGTTACCATTTTTTGAAATTCAAAATTCGAATTTACTGTGATGTGTAATCGTAACTTGAGTAACTTTATATTTAAAATTTATAAAATTGCTGATTAATAAATAGGTAAACATAATTACAGATTTTATGAAAAGTTTAACTTCCCGGGAGTAATTGGATGCATTGATTGTACACATGTGGCAATTTTTCCTCCAAAAAATGACCATGAGGAGCATCCAGAGCAATTATATGTAAATAGGAAAGGATACCATTCAATAAATGTTCAGTTGGTGAGTAATCTCTCTTTGAAATTAAAAGTGTTTATAGTAGCTTTCTATCCAGTTACTTTAGATCTGTGACAGCGACTTAAAAATCACAAATGTGAATGCCAGATATCCAGGAAGCACAAATGATGCATTTATTTGGACAAATTCAAATGTACTGCCTTTGATGAGAGATTTGCATGGAAGAGGACACACTAACTATTATTTATTGGGTTAGTACCTACTACCTACTTATCAAATATTACAGGGAAAAAATAAAGAAAGCATTACTTACTTTCAGTTCTCAATATTTATATTTTTTAGGAGATTCTGGGTATCCCCTTAGATCATGGCTTTTGACACCTCTAGAAAATGAACCTGCAGAAAACAGTCCTGAACACAGATATAATAGGGCTCACAAGACAACAAGAAACACAATTGAGAGGTGCAATGGACTCCTTAAAATGAGGTTCAGGTGTTTACTGAACCACCGGGTTCTTCATTATAGTCCAGATGTAGCCTGCAGAATCATAAACTCCTGTGTAGTATTACATAATATGTGTCTCAGTTATAATGTGGAACTACCGAACGAAGAAATTGAAGGACCTCATAATAATGTTGACTTTGGAATTGTAGATAATAATGAGAACAATGACCCCATTCCAGTTGGGAGAGTAAATCCCGAACTAGCGGAAGGCAGAAGATGGAGAAGTACCATAATTAGAAATGCTTTCAGAAATCCATAAGATTTATAGGTATTTATATTTGTTGCTATAAAGCTTGGATTAACAAATATTTTTCAGCTTTCTCCTAAACATATCCATTATTGTTGTTTTATTATTTTGAAGTTAACGGAAATGTTCAAAAACGAATAGAATTACTGGGGATTCATGATAATGATATAATTAAAAATACTTGATACCTAATTCTAATGATATATTTTACTCGATATTTTACTATAATAATTATAATTATCAAAGAAAAGGACATATCCACCCAATACAAAACACCATACACCATAAATAAAGTTTGAAATTAGGTAACATAAATAGCAGAAGAAAAATTATTAGAAACTACAAAAATACTCAAAACTAATATTAAATAAGTTATTTTTTTTACATCAAATAAACTCTTCTAGAACAGAAGAAAGACGATTTATATTTGACGCTAATTGCTCTCTAGCACTTGCGCTTCTTTCTTTTGCTGCTGCAAAACGTTCTAATAAAATTATTTTTTTTTTCGTAGTACTCTTTTTTGATTTTATTTTTTGTTTCAAGAGATACGCTGTAGTTGTCTGCTGCTTGAGATGCATAAACGAGCTTTTTTCTGGGTGCTCTATACCTTTTTGTCGATAGATTTATGGATTTTGCACTTATTTTCTCGGCAGAGAGATTTGAAGCTGTTTGTGAAGTATTCAAAGAGTCTCTCTCATAACATGAACTTACTACTGAGATCTTATTCTGTTCATCAATATTTGGTGCTCTGTTATCTTTTTTTATATTTGGTTCAGGGCTATGTATAGAAATTATTTCTATGTGTTGAGGGCGAGGTTGAGGGACTTCATATTCGAATTCCACTTTTGATTCACTGACATTAGTGTGTCCTTCTATGGAAACTGATTTAATTATATCCAGAATTTGAGCCTCAAATGGTGTGACTGGATTATTTTCGAAGTTTCCGCCTCCAGTAGCTTCTTGCTGGGTTTTGTTTTTAGCTTGTTTAGTTTTTGTTCGTGAACGAATATCTTGCCAAGTCTAAAATTATTATACTATATGAGTGTCACATCAAAAATAAAGATTATAAGATATTAGATACTACCTTATTATGATTAGTAGATTATATAATAAAGCGTATGTTCAAGACGGAATTAGCAAAATTAGAAACAAACTAGAAAAAAATAGTACCTATTCTCTATCTATTCGTGCAGTTTTATTTACCTACTTCAATTACAGTACCTACCTACCTTTCTCCATGCTTTCCAATCTTTGTTGGCTCCAGGACAACTATTTAAAAGAGTGGTAAGTTCCTGCCACAAACTTTGGCTCTGCTTTTGGGTGAATTCATTGCTGAATTTACCGGAGATAAGTTTTTGATTTTTTTTTATGAATTCAAGCATTAGTTTTTTTTGGTCCTCTGTCACAGATGAACCTTTCTTCAAATTATCCATATTTACTGAAGCCAATTATTACAAAACAGAATTTTATGTTAAAAAAAAAAACATCAAACATGACAATAATTTTGAATTTTACGCGAAAATTATCGCCAAATGCGCACGCGTCAAAAAATAATATTTGGAAGTGCAACGTTGTCAAACCGATCGTTCGACGCGAACGATAATAATGGTCACGTTCACCAGCACTCAACATGTTGAGTGATTAGTTAACGGCTTTGTTGAAAACAGATGAAAATCAGCTCTAGACCAATCAACACTGTTCTACCTTGTGTATTCCACTTGTTGGAACAAAGCCGTTTACTAATCACTCAACATGTTGAGTACTGGTGAACGCGACCAATTTCGAAGGGTTGTCAAGAATACCGATTTCAGAAATCGTTCGCAAATAAACCGGTCGCATCAAAACGTATACGCATCGATGCGAGTGATGTCAAGAATAAGGAGCCTGTGTTTGCTGTATTTTTCTTTCCCTCGCACCTCATACGGAAAGTGTCAAATTAAAATAGCCAAACATTAAGAAAGGTTGGATTTAGGTCAAAAATAAACGGCGTTGAAAAAGAAAATGTATATTTGCCATCCCTCATCCTTCGATCGGAACACTCTTTCAAACAAAAAAATCAACATCATCAATAACTTGTAAATACCATTAAAATTGCCTTCAAGAATTGAAATTAAAAAAAAAAAAATATTCTTTAAACAAAAAAGAGAAACTCCGAAAAACTTGGAAAGCAATGTAATATATGTATAAAATACCATGTGATGAATGCAATGCAGTGTATGTACATACACATAGGACAAACACGAAGGTATTTAAAGACACGAATATCATAGCACCATCGGAGTGTAAGACCGTCCTCCAACCTCATCAACACAAAAAACAAAACAGCATTAGCTAAGCATTTTGAAGATAGACTACATAACTTCGATTTTAATAACGTACCTTTTTTGGGAAAGCATAACAACTACAATAAAAGACTTGTCGGAGAAAGGATAGAAATTAAAAAGCATCCCAATAACATTAATAAAAGACAGGACGTTGAAAAATTGAGCATAATTTATAACAAAATTTTAAAGTCCGTCTGTTCCTGATTGATATCGATACCAACCAACACCCATATTAGAAACAAGTAGGTTTAGTGTAGCGTTGAAAATTACAAAAGCCAGAGCCAAAGATTTTAAATTTTAATTTTTTTTTTGAATGTTTAATCTTGATGTTCCTTTTGTTAATCAAGCGAAACCAAAGAACGAAGTGAAGTTAAGTAACATGGTCCTTATGTATTTAGCACACACTGGAGAAGTAACTTGTATGTTAGTAATATCTCTTTTAATTTAATTTACCTTGTTTAATGTTATTTATATGTTATTTATTTATTTAATTTTTAATTGTTCTAGTTATTCAAGTATTAAGGGCGGTAAGTGCCATTTACCGTCCGAGAGTGTTTGAAGACCGACGCTATAGCGGAGGTCTTCAATATTCGAGGGCGGTTATAATGAGACTTAAGGCCCAAAATACTTATTGCGTTTTATGCACATCGGACTCTTCCAGTTCTAAAATAAAATAACTATAATCGAATTTTCGCGACGAACTACTTCCATAATTTCATGAACACAAACGTTTTCGCGTGAAACTCACGACTCATATTGAACGTAGTTCGCCGGTAGCATGGACGTAGCTTCTAGCCAGCGTTTACACTCATGACGTCACAAAACGAACTATGGTTCGACCTTGGATGAACTACATTCGTCGCGAAAATTCGGTTAATATCTATATAATGGCATCCATTTGACATTGTTTTCAAAAATAAACAGTCGTCGCCCCTTTATACAGTGACCGCCAAAAAGTTTGCAACAAATGGGAAAATATTTTATTATTAAGATATCAAAAAAAATTTTACGTGGGATCAATTCAGCGTACCCATCAACAAAAAAAATTACTGTGACAGATGTCATGTGACCACAGTCATGGCGGAAAATTTGAAAAATTCGCCTTAAATATGTGAAAAGTGGGGTTAGACGACCAGAAATAAATCGAAAAATTGTAGAGAGAAAAGTTGTTCGGGATCCAATTTTACGTCCATGTGTCAATTTTTAAAAAGGTACAAGGATTTTTGATAAATATTAATTTTTGGGCCTGTTTTCTAGTAATTTGAAAAATATCGAAAACATTTCACAAAAATATAGGCTTGATTAAATTTAGAAAAGAGGTATTGGATCATTTAGAAAGATTTCATGATAATTTCAAATTTGTTATTCCAAATTTTTGTTTTCTATAGGTCATTGCAACAAGATCAGAGTGGTCTGAAAATGAATTTTTGGTTTTTTTACAATTTTTCGCGGGACAATTAAGCAGAATTACTGCACTGGATTTTTTTTTTGTTAGTTTCACTTTGAATTATGTAAACCAGACGGAATGGTTTTGATATTTTTCAAATTACCAGAAAACAGGCCAAAAAATTGATATTTATTAAAAATCCTTGTACCTTTTTAAAAATTTACACATGGACGTAAAATCGGATCCTGAACAACTTTTCTCTTTGCAATTTTTCGATTTCTGGTGGCCACTTTTCACATATTTAAGGCGAATTTTTTAAATTTGCCGCCATGACTGTGGTCACATGACATCTGTCACAGTGATTTTTTTTGTTGATGGGTATGCTGAATTGATCCCACGAAACATTTTTTTTTGATATCTTAATAATAAAATATTTTCCCATTTGTTGCAAACTTTTTGGCGGTCACTGTATAAAGGCGCGTTTCCACTGAAATATTGGCAACTTCTGAATTTGCAAATCTTCCAACAATCAACAACATTTTTCATGGTTATCCACACCGATTTTGGTAATAATATACATAATATGTAGGTATAGTTGTTGGGTGAATATAATCAATAACTCTAAGTGATTTATCTCCTAAAAGAGGCTGGATCTTACCGCCCGCAAATGCAGGCGGTAAGTTAAACTTACCGCCCGCCCGATCGTACATAAATATTATTTACGTATGTAACCCGACTATTATATTTTCATTTTCATTTCGTGGGAAATTGCTCATTAGTAAAGTATAAAAAGACCTGTAAATTTATATAAAATTCCTTATAAATTTTGAAATTAAAAAAAATAAATCTTCATGCTGTTATATTATTACACATTTGTATTGTACTAATTACACTGTTCACTATGTAACAATCCACAGATGTTAGACTCATTAATATCCTGTTTTTAGTGCCCGAGGATGGCCTAATTTAGGCCGAAACATCGGCAAATGCACATTCTCTTCTTCAACGCCGTTTATTTTTTACCTAAATCTAACCTTTCTCAAAAAAACCAACCGGATTACACAGGGAGTCCCCGTTCAACTGGTCAAAAATGCTGAGGTATACAGGGTGTTTCCGAAAGGGTGTTAAAAACTTCAAGGGCAGATAGTATTCATGAAAATAATTAAAAAAGTTCCTATGGATGTAGGTCCGGAAACGCTTTGTTTCCAAGATACAGGGTGCTATGTATTTCAAAAAAAATTAGTTTTTTATTAATAGTCCAAAAGAGCTTTGGCCGATGTCAATGAAATTTTCACGGTTTATTTAAACCATTATCAGAAATCTACTGGAACAATTAGATTTGTTCCAGAATTTCCAGGCGCATACCCAGCGACCAAGTCGGTTGCTTTTTTGCAGAAAAAAAAATCACCCTGTAGTTTTTGTACAATTTTTATCAATTATTCAGATAAACCCACTTAAAATACAACATTATTGTAAGTGATGCCGCGAGACTCGAGACAGGTCTCGTCTCGTCTCGTCTCGACTTTTCGAGACGAGACTGGCTTTTGGTCTCGTCTCGTAAAGTCTCGACGAGACGTTACCAGAATCGGCGAGAGTCTCATGTAGTCTCGAGATTACAATTAAAATTTTTCTTTCATTGTTTTATTATTGGATTATTCTGTGCTATTTGAATATGAAATCAGTAAATTTCAATACCCACATTTTCTACCTGGAAATAATGGTTCCTCTATATACCCTAGCATTTTTGACCAGTTGAACGGGGACACCCTGTAGTTAATTTTTTGATGTGCGCAATTCGTTGTGTCGAACATAGCGCGTAGTTGGCTTCAGAGAGAGCATTCTGTATGGAAGTGGAATATACCTGAACCCCTATTCTCGAAACCGGGGAACAGCGTTCTCATGAGAAAGATTGCTCTGTTTTTGTTAGCGTTATTGAAATATGGGCGACCGATGAAGACAGAACCTTCGTTCTCACGAGAACTTTGCTCCCGTGTTTCGAAAATAGGGACCCTGGCCCGATGCAGAGCAACATATTCAGAAATAAAGTCCTTGGAATGAGAATAATGAGAAAATACTTCCAGATTTTTGTTATCCTTTTCCGAAGTTGAGAAAGCGTCGTTTGGCTTGATAGAACGAATCAAATAGCTGCTTATGATGCGCATCGGGGTTTAAAGAGGTAAATTAATTTGGAATCTGCCACATGGTAAGGTAAGTGGTGAATGGTATCTATTAATATTTCGTCAGCCTTTTGGTCTGAAGGAGTGAGTAAATTTGTGGAGTTTGAAGGCAGCAGAATATGAGTGAACTCGTTCACCAAATACATGTACCTTTTTGAAGTGAAACTTCTTAACGAGCGCTGGCACTAAAATTTCAAGGACCGTGACATGCGAGATAGCGGGTAGACCGGATACTTTTCAACATGGCGTTGCTGAATATTGTCACCGTGTTACAATGCAAGTTCGGTATAGGTATCCTCCGCAAGCTAAAAGTGACATTGTTGGAACATCACGTATTCTTCCATTTGAAGTTACAAAACTGGTCACTTGGTTTTGTCATCTTTTTGCTCGAAGAGGATTAACCTAACCCTACTATAGATGGATGGCGACTGTTATTTTTGACGTTCACTACATCATCATAATAGAGGGCGTCACAATAGCAGTGTAATCCATTCATTGAGAATCCAATAAATAATTTGAATTGATCCCATTCAACAGTCTCGAGA